CTAAACTCTTAAATACTGAGGCATCGCTTTTTCATGTGATTGTTAAAATTTTATTATAAACTCTAAAAGTGAAATGTGATCGTATGGGAGCACTCCTTGGATGGATGGCCTTTTAGGAAGTTGCACTAAGGCCTCGTTTGGGACGACTTTCTTACTGTTTCTTAAAGCAGCTTTCTAGTAAAAAAAAATTTGTACTAAAAAGATACTCTAAGAAAAAGTAAAAAAGCTGTCTCAAACGAAACCTAAGAGAAGCTTTTACAAATGAAATCAAACCAACCCATCAATCAAAATATGGAAAATAAGTGCTACATGCTAAAGTGTTATGTCATGATAGACATCACCTGACTCTGTTGAGACAAAGTGCTATATGATGGGAACCATCTCTCGAACTTAAAAGAGTCATCTTTAGTATCCTATCTATCTCGTAGATGGTTTTGGTTTATATTTAACGACAGTAATGAAGACGTCGGTTACTTATGTAACGTGAGCTGATTATAAAAATTTTTTAGTAGAATGAAGCTAAACTCCTTAAGTAGAATGAAGCTGTGGCATTTAGGTTGTAGTCATTTGCATTCTCATGAAAACACTGAGGGTGCAAAGTGGAGGTTTTGTAGACCTCAACAGTGAACATGTAACTTAAAAGGAGGTCAAATATCTATAGTTAAACTATCAGTTAATTGTTAGACCGTACTATTAGTATTGTGCAAACTTCGATTAACTTTGATCCATTCTCAGTTACTCTCTCTTTCTCTAAATTTTTATGTCGCAATGCTCAGAAAATGCTCTGCTTGGAACCAAGGAGAAGAATTACTGCACGGAGCGCTCTCAGAGCATGAGTTCTTCAAGGATCTTGACATGGTACCGTAGTTATTTCCAGTTGCTTTTTCCAGTAAATAAAGTCTCAATGAGTGTATTAAATGATATCGAACTCTAGTTTTTTTTTTCTTTTTCCTGCTATTGTTTCTCTTTATTCTTACCTTTATCCTCTGTTGTTTGCATAGAGGAGGATCCAAACGGTTCATTGCATTGACTTCCCTTGACATCTCCTACTTCATATATAATTTTGCTCTAATTAGTTTATCCAGAGTTGCTTTTCTTAGGTGATAAGTGGGTACTTGAGAACATAATTATCTAAACAACATATAATTATTGGTGAATTTACATGGATACCATTAAATTCTTTAATAATATTAAGTAAATGACATCAACTAATACAAAGGAGAATGTAGGTTAGGCTCTGTTTTATAATCATTTAATTTACTTTAAGCTTAATATAATTTCTAAAAAATTATATTTTACTTAGTTAAATAAATTCAATGGTCATAAAATTTATTATAATCGAATTTAATCAGAATATTCTGACTCATTTTTTTTTAAGTAAAGAAATACCAATATTAGAAGGGCTAGATGATATATGGAGGGTTAGATATAGATATAAGGATAAATAAATTCAGAGGTATGTATGTGGATGCCTTTTAATTCTTCTTTGTTTAGTTGCAAGGGAGGATTTGGTTAATTAATGTTTAATGTTTTGTTTGGGAAAGCAGTTCTTTTAGTACAAAAATTTTTTAAATTAAAAATTTTTGTATTAAAAAATTTATTTTAAAAAGCAGTCAAAAAGTTGTCTCAAACAAAGTAGATGACTTCATATGGGATAATTTTTTTACTGTTTTGATTTTTAGATCGTAACCATAATTTTTATTTGACAATTTTTTTTTGTTATTATTTAAAAAATTTGTATTAAGAAATTATTTTCTTACAACAACTTTAAAATATTATTTTCTCTGTTAATTTTACACAGTAGCAAGAAAGATGTCTCAAATGAAGTATAAGCGATTAAAAACTAGCTATTGTGATAGTAATTGTAATTTAAATGATGGATTAATATTCATAAAAGTTGTGTGGTATGTTTACTAACGAATGTATAATTAGTAATCTATAATTATGTCACTGATTAGTTTCTTGATTTTGATGTTTATCCTGTACCTCTATTCTAATTAACGGTATCTTAATTAGTAAATTATGATTAAGTTGTGAAATGTTCTGGGCATATTTAATCAAAGTAGAAAATTATATTTATAATAATACGAACCACATATTTTATGATATATCATTCAACAGTTCAATACATAAAATGTGATTAGAAATTAAGTATAAGTATTAAGTGTGGCTCGATAGCATCTCATTGTAGAGAGCAGAACAACTGAGCAATAGGAGATGTAAGAGGTAAAGATTACATAGTCTAAAGGAAGTAATGGCAAAAATTGTCGTTGATCTTTGCTTATCGATTAATTAACAAATCAATAAATAAATAAGAGAGATGGGTGAAAATTTCAAACAATGGGAGTTTTTATATTTGTATGCCAACATATTTCTTAAAAATTATTTTCATAGGACATAGGATGTTTCAACAAATTAAATTAATAAAGAAAGATTTATGCATTATATTGAAATCTAGTGAAACTAAATAATTTATTTGCAACATTTAAATATATCTTTAAGTTAAGACTCTCTCAATAATTAGGCACATATCAATCAAGTAAGACTTGATGGATTTGAAATTTACTCATAATTACACAAACGTAAATTAATTTGTATTTTGAAGTGGATGAAATTTGTTATAATAATAAGAAATGAGAGTTATCAAAGTCACAACATTAGGCAAATGAGAAATATTCAATAACAGCTCAAGAACAAGCTGTTGAGCTTCATCAATTCTTTTATTTTTTCTTATTAAATCATTGATTATTGAAATATGAGAGATAATATTCTTTTTATCTAAATTTCTCATAAGAACAATAACAACTAATAAGGAAATCTAAAATTCATTTTGATTTTATGAAAACTATAATCAATTGAATTCAAATTATAACTCATAAATATATAAGTCAACAACAAATAAGATTGTATTTGCATTGATATTGGTAAAAGTAAACATTTGATCTAAAAGTTGATATAAATCAACAATGTACAGCAACAAGTTTTGCAAAAGCCAATAATGCTAGCAATACCCAAGACAAATGAACATATATGATATTTATAATGATTTTATTGCTTTTAGAAAACATTATTTAATCTAGCGAGATTGAAGAGAATCCCAATTGATAAAAATATGAGGGAATGGACATGAGAAGATCTATTGTAGTTCCTAGGCAATTCTTACCTCTTCAGGTCGTCCACCTAAAATATTGATAAAGAATTTGACCTGCAATTTCAGTAAAATATTAAAATGCTTGAGAAGATTTGAACTTTTTATACTAATATTTATATTTTAATCCAATAATTTAAAAAACACTTAATGGATTACACCAATTTTTATTAAAATCTATAAATTTAATTATGCAAAAAAAAAAAAAAAAAAAAAAAAAAAAAAGAGAGATCATCAAGTAATACAAAAAAAAAATTGAGTACATAGATCAAATTATACAAACTGTTTAATGCTGACATTGCATTCTTCACATTTCATATATATCAAACAAATAAGATTGCTTATATATTGATATTCGGAATGTGAGCAATCTTGTGGCGATCGGAGCCTCCATCCTCTCGATAGCGCTCCTTTAAATCTGGATGACACATCCCACATGCTAGAGATTTCAAAGAGGTAGGAAGGTTCGGTAATTCCCGAAGCATAGGAACATTCACAATTTGTAGAAGCTGAAGTGAAGATAAGCTTTCCAAGGAGGATGGGAGAGACTCTAAGGATTTGAGATTTACAAAATACAGCTCCGAAAGAGAAGACCTAACATTCAGAAACCACTGCTCCGCCTCATTTGGAAATGAAACCACCTCACCATTAACCGCAATAATCAGCTCTTTTAAGGAGGCGATACTTCTCAATGGCTCCATTAGCAACACCGATGGATCACTTATTTCAAGATCGCTGAGCATGAGATGGCAATTATTAGTGGTTTGCATTTCTCCGAGAGAGATCAGATTGGGGCACTTTGTAATTGTCAAGGATCTAAGTGCTGCAAGTCTTGCTATTTCATCAGCCAGAGGAAGAGATGTAATGTTTCGACAGTCAAACACCTCTAATGTTTTAAGGGGAATAGGATTTGAACTGCTACAAAAATTCAAAGTCGTCCACTCCATATTGTTATATATCTTCAAGGTCTTGAGCTTAGAAGGCAAAGAGGGCAACTCTTTCAACTTCGGGCAGTCAAGTAGCACCAGTTTAATTAAGCAAGGAAACAAACATCCATCTTCAGCAGCTACTCCTGCCTCAAACCAATCCTCTAATGCTCCTAATTTCTCAATATTTAACACTTCTAGCAATGGAAAGGCACGGTATGTATCATTCCCATTAAATTTACTTTCGAGCCATTTTACTTTTGGCATGTTAGAAAGTTTCAGTGACTTGAGGAAGGGAAGTTGCCCGAAAGGAGGAAGAGTTTCCCACTCCAAGCATTTCCACAAATTGATTTTCTCAATTTTCTTTAAATTGGAGAGCAGATTGACATTGTTCATCCATATTGCAGACCTTGCACCCATGTAATTACATATACTCAGATTCCTTAGACATTTTGGTGGCCGAAGGCTGTCGAGCACGTTCTCATCTAAATCGAAGTTCCTCAAATCAGTGTTACTCCAACGTAAGGCTAGATCTGTGAGCCTCCTCTTGGCACATAATTTGGCACTACAAGCCTCCTCGGCATCCTTAACATTTTCAAGGCAATTGATTCCTAATTTGCAAAGTTCATTCATATTCTCCAGCTCTCCAATTCTATAACCACTCGCATCTCTAAGATCAAATATTTTCAGTTTTTGAAGAGATTTTAGCTTCCCAATCCCACACATCGATGAAAAACAATCACCTGACAATTTCACATAACACAAGTTAGAAAGGGTTTTTTTTTTTTTTTTTAACACAAATTAGAAATGTTATTAATGCAACTTAGTAAAAAATCATCAACTTTAGGTGACCTTGGCTCACATGAGCTACCACAGATTATGTATTGCAAGTGATAGAGATTACTTATAAATCTTGGAAGCATAGTAAACTTCTCACCTTCAATATTCAAATATCGAAGATGTATCAAATCTCCAATCTCCTTAACAGGAATTAATTCCAAGCCTTTTAGAGTCCATATGAATAATAAGCGTAGGCTTCTCAATGCTTTGAATATTTTAATAAGTGCACTGCAAAGATCCTGATTTAAAACTTTAATGGACAAGAAAAGAGAACGCAAATATTTAAACTGCCCAATCTTTTTTATGATGTTTGGATTTGTAGTTTGAACAGACAAATGTCGAAGAGTCATAGGAATTAGAGAAGGCAACTTTGTACCATCCTCAACTCTTAAACATTCATGTATGGAAATTGATCGTGCCAATTCATGTAATAAATCATGCATCTTGTAGTATCTTCCATCTTCAAACTTATCAAAGATAGATTTTTTAACCAAAACATCAAAATACCTTCCTCCAATATCCTCCATAGTCGATTCTTGATCATGAGGTTGCTGAATGAAACCCAACGCAATCCACATTTGGACTAAATCATCTTTATAAAACATGTAATCTTGTTGAAATATAGAACAAAATGTGAAACAAATTTGTAGATGTTTTGGTAGGAACATGTAGCTCAATCTTAAAATGACAAAGATGCCATCCTGACCCAAATTTGGACTTACAAAATCACTATTTAAAACTTTTGTCCAATGTCTTTCATCCAAGCTAGAATTCAAAACACCACCAATGACTTTTGCAGCCAATGGAGATCCTGAAAGCTTTTTAACAATCTCTCCAACAATGGATCTTAATCTTTTATAATCATTAGGATTCTCCACATCAGCAAATGCATGAGAGTTGAGGAGCTGCAAACACTGATCTTCCTCCAAGCCCTCTAATTTGAATATTTCCGTCTTCTTTTTAATCACCTTTGCAATCATCATTGCAACTGACTCCATTCGAGTTGTTACCAAAATCCCACTACCAATTTTCCCATAAGCCAGAGGGGCGAGAACCTTCTCCCATTTGCTGATATTCTGGTTCTCCTCCTCCTCCCAAATGTCATCCAGAATAAGTAAGAACTTCTTGGACATAATCTCAGTCCTAAGACTATTTTGAAGTGCATGAAGTGAATTTAAATCAGGCTTCTTCGCAAGAGATTCCAACATAGCTGCAATGACTTTTTTCACATCAAAGTTGTTGGAAACGCAAACCCACATTTTCAGATCAAATTCCTTTGTCATTTCATCTTCATAGACATGTTGCAAGAGGGTTGTTTTCCCCATACCACCATGGCCCACTATAGATAAAAGAGAAATGTTTCTGTACCGACTCGTCCGAGGCTCATTCGATGGCTTCCTCAACCATTGCATAACAAAATCCTTAGCCTCGCCTCTACCGATGAGATCATTTGTAGGCAAGGATCCGGTTTCGCGTGCTTCGGACAACTCACGCTGCTGCTCCTGTTGCTCCTGCTTTGCACTATCTAGAAGATAAAGAAAAGTACTAACCCCAGCTGAAACTTTATCTAGTTTCTGCACAACCTCCTTCAGCCTCTTCAAGTTGGGATCAATCTTGAGAGCACGTTCGCCAACATTGCGAATTTTGGAAGCACTTTCCATCAGTAAGCTCGAGTTGGAAAACGCCGTTCTTTTCTGATAAAATTAGCGAGAAATAGATTATCAAATAATTAGATTTATTTGCAACCAGTATTAAATAGGTAGCTGATGATAGAGAACGCGCCTTTGTTTCTTCTGTGTTTTTGGCGAGCTGTTCTTTAAGCTTGATGTACTCAAACTCATCGAGCACATCATCTGCCTCATCAACAGCATCTCGCAGCTGCCATATCCATTTGTTGATAGGGTGTTTCTGATCGCTAATTTGTGCTTGCTTAGCGGCAAAGACGACAGCTTGGATCTTGGGGTGGCTTTGTCGCAGGCTTTCCAGCTCCTCCTTCATGCCGGTCTGCCATCCGACTTGCTCTTCCAGGTAATCAGAGCAAACGTTGATGATCTTGTCCATGATTGGACCAACAAACCATTCCGCCGCCATGGCACCGATGATCGAGGTAGAGAGAGCAGAACAACTGAACAGTAGGAGAAACAGAGATTAATTGGAAGAGATGAAGATTAGATAGTCTCTAATAATTGAGAGAGAGAGAGAGAGAGGAAGAAGATTAGATGCTCACTATAATTGAGAGAGAGAGAGAGAGGACGAAGCTGCCGACGACTGAAAGTCTCGGCAAGTCAAGTAAACGGACTAACGGAGTGAGACAGAAGACGAAGCTCCCGCGTAGTCGTAACTTGCCGACTGAAGTCTCCGTTTTAAAATAAAAAAATGTATGTATTTTAATATAAATGAATTCTTCCGCTTCATCAGTGATTTTATTCATAACATATTCAAATCCAACAAGAAGAATGATAGAAAATTGGCTTTTACATAATCTGAAGACTATCCTCTTTAGGATGAGTTTGATTCCACTGAGTTTAAAATTTACTCATAATAAGTTGCTTTTTATTTGACAAACACTAGCTGAGCTATTGAAGCCTTCGAAGTAACATCAAGCAAGCAAATCAAAATTTGAAAAAAAAAAAAAAAAAACTTCATCGAATATTTTTCTACTTTTGCTGGCCAAGTAAGTCACAGGCAGAAAGCCTTAGCTGTCTTCCACTTAGCAATCTTGTTTTTTCACAAAGCTCCAAAAGTATATCACATGCACATCGATTGTTTTGTCTGCCACATAGTGCGGCAAAATTTTGAGAAAATTCACAGTTTTAAAAATATTTAAGAATATGAGTATGATATTAAATAAATTAGCTCTGGGCATATTCAAGTTGCATGAGCCAAGTACAAGTGAAAAGTGGACGGTAGATAGACGGAAGGGTTGGAGCTCGGGAGTTTGCCCTAGCCGCCTTCTCCTCTTGCGTTCCTGTTTTTCTCCTTCCTTTTTCCGTCCGCCACCGGCCTTCTGCCGGTGGCCTTCATGGATCCGATGGGTCCTCTTGATCCTAGTAATTTTCCTCCTTTAGTTTCCTCCCCGATCGTTTCTGAGAAAACTATCCCTTCTCCTCGTAGAGTTTTAGACCGTCTCTGGTCTAATATTATAGCTGAGCCTGCATCCTCTTCTCCTCACATACCAGTTTCACTTCTTGAAGTGCCGGAGGAGATCATCCCGTTTAATACAGATTTTACTGAGGCAGCTGCAGCGGAGTGGAATCTCTGTCTTGTCGGCTACTCTATCGGTAAGCGACCTTACTATGAAGCTCTCAAAGAAACTGCTACTCGTATCTGGAAGCTCAAAGGTACATTTCAACTAGTTGCTCTTACTGATGGGTTCTTCCTCTTCAAATTTTCTTTGCTTGAGGATTTTGACATGGTATGGTCCAAAGGAGCTTGGTTCTTCCATGGAAAACCTTTTCTTTTTCAAAAATGGACTAAAAACTTCCATCCTACAAGAGAAAACTTTACAACGGTGCCTATCTGGGTTAGGGTCCACAATCTTCCATTAGTGTGCTGGAATTCTGAAGGGATATCTAAAATTGCTTCTAAAATAGGCATACCGATCGCAGTTGACGCTCTTACTGCTGCTAAGACCAGGCTCACTTATGCTAGAATTTGCATACAAGTTTCCACTACTTCTCTTTTTCCTGATTTGGTTTCGGTTTCTATCGAGGGGGAGATTTTAAAACTTCAGATACAATATGAATGGAAACCCTCTCCATGCGACACTTGCTCTTCTCTAGCACACACTTCTTCTCAATGCCCTTCTACTCAATCCTCCGAGCAAAAAGCCCAATTCCAGAACAGGGGTCGAAGTACATCTCGTAAACCACAGAGCAAATCTCAAATACGATCTTCTTCTCGTTCACAGAGATACGTACCGGTTTTTAAACCTGTTAATAAAAATCTCAACATCAGCACTAGTAATCAAATTGCTTCCACTTCAGTGCTTTCCATGGTACCACCACAAGTTGATATCCCCACTACAATACCCCCTAAAGCTCCGCCTGTTACTTCTTCAATTGCTAAAGTGACTGTTGAGCAACCTGCTCACACTTCTATTGTCAGGGAAGAGATTCCCTCTTCCAATATCCCTCAAGATAATGATGTGGTTCAGGAGGATGCAGTAAACTTACAAATTCCTAATCTAAATTCTCCTAACGATGAGGGCCTAGGAGATACTGATATTTTGGCGAATCCTCCACAATTTCCACCTAAGATTCAGATCACTAATAAGTTTTCAACCCTCCTAAGTTCGGAGGAGCATGATACTTCTGGTAATGATAATGATAGCACATCCTTTACGGAATCTAAATCTTATGCCAAAGATTTCAAAGATTACAAAAAGATTTCTCCCACTACTAAGGGCACTAGGGGAAAGGGTTCCAAAAAGCCTGCTACTTCTTCCTCTAAACGTAAATGATCTGTCCAAACATAGCTGCTTGGAATATTAGGGGTTTTTCGGCCTCTAATAAGGTGAACTACTGCAAACTGTTAGTTAAAGATCATAATTTAGATATGGTTTGTATCTTGGAAAACAGAATTCAGCTTGCTAACCTCTCGGATAGGAGTTTTTTCAACAGTCATTTGGTTTATGATGTTGAAGCTAGTTGCAACAACTTTCACTGTGCTACTTCTGGTAGAATCTGGATTAAATGGAACAAAGACAGACTTTCTTTTAATCCCTTTTTCTGTTCTTCTCAAATGATTTCAGGCATGGTTTATTATGGTTCTAGAACCCCTTTTCTTCTTTCTATTATCTATGCTTCTAATCTACAGGAGGAAAGGAGGGTTCTTTGGAATGATCTTAAAAACATCTCTCCGGCTATTGTTACTCCTTGGATAGTAATGGGGGACTTTAATTGCTGTAGGTTTCCTTCCGAAAAATTAGGAGGAAATGTACTCATTCAAAATCAGCTCCACGATTTTAATAACTTCATTTTTGATACTAAAATGAATGATTTAGCATCCATTGGTCCCTCCTTCACATGGTACAATCAAAGGACTGATAATCCTATACATATCAAGTTAGATAGGATGCTGATTAATGAGCATTGGCTCACCTTTTTTCCAGATTCTTTCTATATGGTTTCAAATCCTGATGGATCTGATCACTGTCCGATTATTTTGAAATCTGGAGTTTTTCCTTCCTCCAAACATTGGTTTCTCTTTAAAAATTATTGGCTCAAGTATGACCAATTCTGGTATCTCTTGTTGGAGATTTTTGCTGTTAAGGTTAAAGGCAATCCGCTGGTGGATCTCTGTGCAAAGCTTAAACTTCTTAAAACTGCTGTTAAGAAGAAAGCTTGGGCCTCTTCTAATATAATGGCTGACAGTATTAAGAATATGCACAACAAGCAAGCTTCTTGTCTTGAATGCTTGCAAGCTGGAGATGATTTATTTCAAACTTCTTTAGAGCTTAAGAACATCAATCAAGAGCTTGCTGCCACTTCCTCCTTATGGTTTTCTTGGGTTAAGCAAAGGGCCAAATCTAAATGGCTTACACAGGGTGAGGATGACTTAAAATTTCTTTATAACAGGATACGTCTGAGAAGAAGTTACAAAAAAACGGCTATTACTCTTGCTATGTCCAATTCTAATTCATCCATGAAGGATGCTATCAAAGATTCCATCTCCTATTTTCAGAAACTTTTCAACACTGCTCGGAATCTGGATTTTGATATCAACCTATTTCCCACTGGTAACTCTATACCTCTTGAATATATTGAAGATATGATTTCTCCTTTCACTGATAAGGAGATAAAATCTGCTGTTTTCTCGGGGAATTCTAACTCCACGCCAGGTCCTGATGGATTTAACTTTGAATTTTTTAAGTCCACTTGGGTGGTATGTGGTCCTGCTGTTTGTTTGGCTGTTAAATACTTCTACTATCACCCTTATATTCCTCGTACAGCCAAAGCAACTGCAATTACATTAATTCCTAAATCTACTCATGCTGAGAATATTACGGATTTTCGTCCTATTGCTCTTTGTAATACTATTTACAAGATTATTGCCAAAGTTCTTGCCTCCAGAATGAAGCCTATTATGCATTTTATTATTAAGGAGAATCAAGCAGGTTTCATTCAAAATAGGATTTCAACTGATAATATTATTCTTGTTAATGAAATCCTTCAATATTATAGGAAATTCTCCAAATTCAAGCTTATGTGTGTGAAGCTAGACATTAAAAAAGCTTTTGATAGTGTCTCTAGAGAATTCCTCCTGGCTAGAATGTTTCAAAAGGGTTTTCCTGCCACCTTTGTTAGATGGATTGATGCCTGTATTATGGATGTATGGTTCTCCTTGAGTATAGATGGGAGTCTTGAAGGTTTTTTTCCCTCTACCTCTGGACTGAGACAAGGGTGTCCTCTCAGTCCATACCTCTTTACTATTGTCATGGATGCATTATCTTGTCTTCTTGACTGCAATCTATCCTCTTATAGATTTGAAGCTCCCTTGATTGGAGATTATAGGCTATCCCACCTTATGTATGCAGATGATGTTATTATTTTTGGGAAGGATGACACTTCTAATTCTGAAGTTCTTAATCATATTCTGCAAACTTTTTCGTATGGATCGGGTCTCAAGGTGAATTTTGAAAAAAGCTCTGTCATTCTACCCACTGTATGTACTAATGCTGAGGATATATGCTCTA